CTGCGAACGAGAAGAAGAGACGAGTCAATAATTTGTCATTAGCGCTGCTTCTATTAATTACGCGCTGTGAGGTACCGTCAATGGCATTTGTTCATAATGAAGATGTCTGTTTTGCCAAATATCAATTATGAACGTATCTGCTTGTATTGGGACTGTCACTCTTTATTAATTAATCATAATGAACTTGTCTGTTCACATCAACCATCCGCTATGATCGCGGCTGTCTGCATTATTCAGTAAAAACGAATGAATTTCAGATTTAGCATTTAAAGAAAAAAATCTGCAAATTCTGGGGAGGAAAAACAATGTAAATAATGCAACACTGCAAATTCTCACAGCGCGTTAACACGTGACAAAAAAAGCTGATAATCACTTTGAAAATGTTAAAGGAATCTGCAAAAAATGAATCAATGAATTTAAAAAATGCAATGGGTGATTAACCTGCAACAAACTAACGAACCCGATGCAACAAACAACATAATTACGGATATAAATAGTGCCTGCAAATCCTATGTGCAGCGATAAATAAAAACACTGCAATGCCCAAACCCATAAACAACACTAAAATATATTCATACACATAAATTCAATATATATATTTATTATCCAACATATTACGGTTAACACAAACAAATCCGCAGGCTATGATTAAAAGACACACCGTCATAAATCTTGCTATCAGACAGCCAAGTAAATTAATAACGCCAAATCACACACATTCGCGAGTGACAATAATGAAATGCAAGTAAATAAATCAAGAGTCTTCATTGGATTCATAAACATAGGCTGTCACTGTGTATCCATGTATGTATGTGACCAGTCAGCTATATATAAATATATAAAATCATCTCTCTCTCTCTCTCTCTCTCTCTCGTCTTCTCGCTCTCTCTCCCTCTCTCTCTCTCATTTGTGTGTGTCTCCGTATCTACTGCTCTCTCTCTCTCGCTCTCTCCTCTCTTCTCTGGTCTCTTTGTGTGTGCTCTGTGTCGTGTGTGTGTGTGTGTGTGTGTGTGTTGTTCTCTGTGTGTGTGTGTGTGTGTGTGTGTGTGTGTGTGTGGTGTGTGTGTGTGTGTGTGTGTGTGTGTGTGTGTGTGTGTGTGTGTGTAGCGCGCGCATGCCCGCACAACACTCCCTCAATTCACTCACTCATTCAACCACAGTCACCTCACTCACTCACCCATTCACTCACTCTCCCTCGACCGACTAGTTTAGACGGAGAGCATTTCAATATGTTTATGTGGATATGCATATATATGTATGTGTATAAGGATATACATGTATACCTATGCGTCTATATGTGTATGTATGTATATATTTATTTATGTGTATCTGTATGTGCGTGTTTTGATAAATGGCATGAAAAATATTATATCATGATACGCATGGCAATGACCCGTGCAGTCCCCTAACTCTGCATGTCTACGTGTCAATTACACATTTTCCCATGCATACAATATAACATAAAACAATATATGATGACCATAATAATACAACGTATCACCTAATATACAACACATTACACATACACTCCATACACACACACACACACACACACACACACACACACCTCATACACACATCCCCGCACATATTTTTCAAGCACACCACTTTTCAACTTTTTTTTCCAAAGGGAAATCGTTAGTCGTGCGGGACAAAGCGAAATGGAATGCAAAGCAAACAGGAAAAAGGCACACGATAAGGATCTCTCTGCAAGGGGAAAGAAGACGACTGACCTTCATGTAAATCAACAGCGAAAGAGAGAGGAGAGAAAAGGGGAAAAGGGGAGAGAAAGAAAGAAAGAGGAAAGGGAAAGAAAAGAAAAGATAGATACACACAACACACACACACACACACAACACACACACACACACACACACACACACACACACACACACACACACACACACAACACACACTATATATACATATAGTATATATATAATATATATATATATATTATATATATATATATATATATATAATATAGAGAGAGAGAGAGAGAGAGAGAGAGAGAGAGAGAGAGAGAGAGAGAGAGAGAGAGAGAGAGAGAGAGAGAGAGAGAGAGAGAGAGAGAGAGAGAGAGAGAGAGAAGAGAAAGATAGAGAAAGAGAGAGAGAGAGAGAGAGAGAGAGAGAGAGAGAGAGAGAGAGAGAGAGAGAGAGAGAGAGAGAGAGAGAGAGAGAGAGAGAGAGAGAGAGAGAGAGAGAGAGAGAGAAGAGAGAGAGAGGAAGAGAGAGAGAGAGAGAGAGAGAGAGAGAGAGAGAGAGAGAGAGAGAGAGAGAGAGAGAGAGAGAGAGAGAGAGAGAGAGAGAGAGAGAGAGAGAGAGAGAGAGAGAGAGAGAGAGAGAGGAGAGAGAGAGAGAGAGAGAAGAGAGAGAGAGAGAGAGAGAGAGAGAGAAGAGAGAGAGAGAGAGAGAGAGAGAAGAGAGAGAGAGAGAGAGAGAGAGAGAGAGAGAGAGAGAGAGAGAGAGAGACCACAGCTGTGTAATCAATGACTACT